TTTTGTCTCCTTTTTGTTTTTTTTTGTCTCCTTTTTGTCTCCTTTTTGTTTTTTTTTGTCTCCTTTTTGTCTCCTGTTTGTCTCCTTTTTGTCTCCTTTTTGTTTTTTTTTTTTTGTTTCCTTTTTGTCTCCTTTTTGTCTCCTTTTTGGTTCTTGTGTGTTTCATTTTTGTTTCTTTTTTGTCTCTCCTTTGTCTCTTGTTTGTCTCCTTTTTTTTTCTTTTTTATTTCTTTTTTATTTCTTTTGTGTTTCTTTTCTGTCGCTCTTTTGTCTCTTTTTTGTCTCTCTTTTGCCTCTTGTCTGTCTCCCTTTTTGTCTCCTTTTTGTCTCCTTTTTGTCTCCTTTTTGTCTCCTTTTTGTCTCCTTTTTGTCTCCTTTTTGTATTTATTTATTTATTTTTTTATTTTATTTTATTTTATTTTTGTATAGAGGGGCAAACGTTTTGGTTCACTGCGAGAAGGGCATCTCCCGCTCCGTCGCCGTTTGTATGGTCAGCTCCTGTCTCCTTTTTCTTTTTTTTTGTCTCCTTTTTTCTTTTTTTTTGTCTCCTTTTTCTTTTTTTGTCTCCTTTTTTCTTTTTTGTCTCCTTCTTTTGTCTCCTTCTCTTGTCTCCTTTTTTCTTTTTTTGTCTCCTTTTTTTGTCTCCTTTTTTCTTTTTTGTCTCCTTTTTCGTCTCCTTTTTTCTTTTATCTCTTCTTTTTCGTCTCCTTTTTTTGTCTCCTTTTTTCTTTCGTCTTTTTTTTGTCTCCTTTTTTCTTTTTTGTCTTTTTTTGTCTCCTCTTTTTTTTTGTCTGCTTTTCTATTGTCTTCTTTTCTTTTTTCCCTTTTTTCTTCCTTTTATCACTTTTTTATTTCTTTTATCTCCTTTTTGTCTTTTGTTTGCCCCTCTGTCTCCTTTTTTCTTTTTTTTTTTTTTCTTTTTTTTTCTCTCTTTTTCCCCTTTCCATCTCTTTTTTTTCTTCTCTTTTCTTTCTTTTCTTTCTCTTCTCCCCTCTCTCCCCTCTCTCCCCTCTATCTCTCTCTCTCTCTCTCTATCTCTCTTTCTCTCTATCTTTTTTCTTTTTATCCTTACAGGCTTACTTAATTCTCTATGAGGGCCATTCCTTTCGTTCTGCTTATCTAAACATACGCAGACACCGCCCCATAGCCAGGCCCAACCCGGGCTTCATTCAGCAGCTGCTGCACCTCCAGACCCACGTACACGCCACCAAGCAACGCACAGACCCTGCACAGGGGGCCCCCATACAGGGGGCCCCCACACAGGGGGCCCCCGCGGGGGCCCCTATGGGGGCCCCCAGGGGGGGCCCCACACAGGGGGGGGCCCCCATACAGGGGGAAACTACACTGGGGGGGGAACTCATACAGGGGGAGACATGTATCGGGGGGCCCCGGGGGGCCCCCATACAGGGGGCCCCCATACAAGCGGAGCCCATGGGGGCCCCTATACAGGGGGCACAGGCGGGGGCGATAGGCGCTGGGGGGGCCCCTGCGGGGGGCCATCGTGTCAATCAGCAGCAGCAGCAGCAGCAGCAACAGGTGCTGCTGCAGCAGCAACAGCTGCTGCAGCAGCAATTGATGCAGCAGCAGGCGCTGCAGCAGCAGGTACATAGAACGGCTGCTCGCGGTGGGGGCAATCAGCAGTACAGGCAGCAGCCAGCAGCAGCAGCAGCAGCAACAAAAACAGCAGCAGCAACAACAGCAGCAGCAT